AGGACAAGTGTTGGTATTATTTGAATGCTAAGCAGCTAGAGAGAGAATGTGTGATTTCATTGAGGAATAATTGGAGTGATTGACCATAGTTTTAAGGTTTCAGGCATGAGAAGAATGTGTTGTGTGTTCTAAAGGGGTAAGAATTGAATCGAATGATGCTGTGAAGTCGTTTATCTGGTGTGGGTGTTGTGAGGAAATTAGAGATCTTTTGTACGGGTTGATGGTTGTGACATTTGGTGTCGTGTTGCTTTTAACTTGTTATGATTGTCTGATTAAGGCATGATTGAGATTCTTAGAACTGGTATGTGATTTCTTTGTTGTCGAGGTTACGTATAGCGATGGATGGATAGTGAGTGGATCTCATTGTTGTTTTGTGGACTGTGTAAGATTGTATTAGAGGTGCGGACTTGAGGACAAGAACGATGTCTGGACTGAGACCGGATCGAGGATGAGAATGGCCTGGCCAACCATTTCTCCTGAGTCAATCCTTCTTTAGCGCGATATCGGGTTAAAAGTCAATGATTGTTTTGAGTTGTCACGAATAGTGAGAGTATGGTATTGGGTGTGTGTTAGTGTGGTGGTGTGGATTCAGGAAGTTTTCTCGGGTGACGAGGTGTGTTAGGTGAGACTCAGTGCCCGATCCGTTTGATTATTAAAGATCTTGTTTCAAGAATTTGTGTCTTGGGTCCAGGATAGTACGCTTACTGATTTGCTGACTAATGTTTATCCAGTGATTTGGAGACTTATTGTCAAATCATCTTGAAGTTACTGAGTGTAATGATTATCATATGGTGTGATTAGTAGTCGTTGGTATAGTTATGTGGTGGTGTAGCTACGTACTAGATAGCAAGTGTTCGGTTTATCAAAAATGTGTAGATTAGAGATGAGATTGATTGAGAGATAGACAACCGCACAAGGTTTTGGTGGCAGTGATGTGTGATTGCCTGGTGACGTCCGGTATCAAAAGCAAAAATGTCGATGAGTTCATAGTCTCGATGTTTTGTGATGTGTTCTTGGAGGAGAGTGTGTGGTTCTGGGCCTTCTTCATAAGGAGGGTAGATTTCGGGGACGAAATCTCTTTAAGGATGGTAGATTGTGATGCTTCTGAATTTCACCATTTTCTATTTTTTTGGAATTTTCCGTTTTTGCAAGGGCAATCTCGTCTTTTCTTATTTTGCGTACCAGACACCGTGGGTTGTGTCAGTTGTGTCTGAGAGTTGGTTAGGACATTTCATTGAGTCTGGGACTCTTTGAAATGCCAAGGTTGCCATTTTTGCATTTTTCTATTTTTCGGGCCGAACGATCCCGTGTGGGACCCGCTACCGGGAATGTTACATACGAGGATTTCAATTGGGTTCATTTGCATCATATTTATTTTATTTAATGTGTTTTATGCAATTGTGAAATATGTGTGTATATATATATATGTGGTGTGAAATGGAAATAAAAGAAAAAGGAAAAATAAAATAAAAATGAGGTGGGCCCCACCACCATTGAACTTGTGACGGCCCTGGTTTTTTGGCCACTGCGTCATGTGATGAATCGAACGTAGATCCGATAACGAATCCAGAATGCGAAAGCAAAAGATGAAATAACGGTCTCTAGAGATACAACAAGTCTCTAAGACACCAATATGACACTCAATGAGGTCACGGAACCCAAAGAAAACAAATGCGGAAGCGACGTTTCAAAAGCGGACAAGAATGAACCTATGGCCAAAAAGGTCATTTCCAACATGAAAGTGGGTGCTACCGAGCACACCATTGGAAAGACAACGAAAAATCAATAAACTTAGACTCAAGAATCACTTGATTCGGAGTCCGGAAGAAGAAGATATAGCTAACAGAAGAAATAAGGGTAAAAAGGTTAAAATGGTCAACCCAAGGTCATCTAACCGATTAGGAGACCTTCCTAACCGGTTAGGAGGCAAAAATAGAAGGTTCACATTCTGGCCCAACTCATCTAACTGGTTACGAGAAGTCTACTACTCGCACACTTGTACTACAACTCAGCAAAAACTTAGCAGCAGGAGTTTTTCGGTAAAAAAAAATAGGATTTTGAGGGCCCAGATGACATTTTCTAGAAAAACACAAAGAAGAAACCACCCTCAAAATCGAGTTTTCTACTTGACAACGTGAAAAAAAAAAAAAAAAAAAAAAAAAAAAAAAAAAAAAAACTGGCTGTGAAATGCCCAAAATGCCCCTCCATGAAATCAGGTCATGAAGGTCAAAAACCTACTAAAGTGAAAAACAGAAAGCTGAACTCGTGAGGAAATTTCGGTACCAAGATGACATTTTCTGGAAAAACATGAAGAAGAAACCCCCCCCCCCCCCCCCCAAAAAAATTATGTTTTCTAAGTGACTATGTCGAAACCGAAAATTATTTCTCGAAAGAAAATTCCAAAATGCCCCTAGACCAGACTATGCAATGAAGGTATAAAATGAGTCCATAGGAGGCTCATTTCACCATAGAAGAAGTTTTTCTTGAAAAAGATCATACACGCAAACGTAACTTACCTAATAGGATGTGCTACAATGGTCCATGGCTTAAAAATATCGCCGATGCACAATACGACCCCCCGACGGCCAAAATGACAAAAATAAAGTTTGGAATGAAAACTTGGAACTCAAAATTATGAAATGGTTTCAAAATACCGTTTGGCCCTTAGCCACACTTCATACATGATTAATGAATGCTAATGGATGAATTTCATACACAATGCACACTCCGGTGCAAAATAGCATATTAAAACGCATGATTTTTCATATATTCTCATTAAAGGCAAGATTTAACATCCATGACATATATGTAATTCCAAAAGAAGTTTGGCCCTTGGCCTCAAGTCATATACATAAAATGAGAATCAAAAAGTGTGCTTAGGCACACATTACAAGTTTAGAATCAAATATACACATTTGACAAATAAGGCTATAAATGACATTTCTAGCCAACCTTTACAAGAATGGAACCCTTCAAGTCCACAAATCATCCAAACATAATGAGAATCTCTAACCTTGATTCCTGTACCTAAAAAATATCCCCAGTAACTTCAGGGTGAGTAACATAAAGCTACTCGTAGGAAATGAGCATGCATCGACCTAACATTTTACAATTTTATCACCTTAAGGTGAAACATGTTAAAAGGGCTCATGTCACCTAACGTTTATGTCAAGATGAGACTCAGGGAGTATCCTAAGCTACCCTGGATCATTTCTAGCATAAATCACACCATTCATGTAATTCAAACCACATAGAAGTTGCTATACAAAGCAACAAGATATAGATTCTCAAAGTTATCAACTTGAAATCTAAAAGTGCGAAAACAACTAAATATAGCAATATAGCATAATTAGAATTTCTAAGACCACACATTAAAATATAGATTCTCTAAGTTGTCAACTTGAAATCTAAAAGTGTGAAAACAACTAAATATATCAATTTAGTATAATTAGAATTTCTAATACCACAAATCAAAATATAGATTCTCTAAGTTATCAACTTGAAATCTAAAAGTGTGAAATCAAATAGTGGAAGACTTGGACATCACGTCTCAGGGTTAACCAAGATCAAAACGGTTATTCCGGGCATCAACCCGCTGAGAAGATCACCCTAGTGCGCACTATCTCAACTAGGAGAACTCATACCTTCCGCACTAGAACCAAACTCTAGCCATCTCAACGTAACAATGTCCCAAGTGACTCCAAAATAAATAAGTTAACAACTCATATACGTATTAAATAGTACATGAAACTACCTTCATGCACAAATAGGTTGAAGCCACACAATACATGCTTTAAATTCACAACTACTATAGGATGACAATGTCGAATCTTCAGAGTGCGATTCGTTACACGCTATAATAACATCACATGTCGAATCTTCAGTGTACGATTCGTTACACGCTATAACAATATAATTCAATATTGGAAACATAATCTCATAAATCCATTACAAGTCTAAAATTATGCTTCAAACATACTACCAATGTTAAACACATGATTTAATCAGTTATGCAGTAGGAACAAAAATTAATTAAATGAAACAATTAATTCCCTTAAGTTTCTAATCTCAATTAAATGGTCCCTAATTAATACATGTTAAACAACATAGCATGGTCATTACATATAACAAATCAAAAACTTAATTAGGTCATTTGAACAATAAAATGGAATTTAATTAAATCATGATAATCAAATCCCTAAATTCTAAAACAAACATTAAATGGTCCCAAATTAACATATGCTAGTATACAAGTCCTAGTCATCACCAAATATCAAATTAAAAACTTAATTAAGCCAATGGAACCTTTAAATAGATTTTAATTAATCATTTTAATTAAAATCTCTAGATTTTCAAACTTATCCAAATACTCTCAAATTAAAGTATATTAAAGAATATGCCAAGACTTAATTTAAAGGCATATCAAAAGATAATTTCATGCATGGTACATCCATGAGAATTAAACTTTCACAAAAGATAATTATTAAATAAAAGGTGCAATTCTTATTCAAATAATTCCAATTTAATATATGTTAACAAACATATTAAAACATAATTTATCATCATGCCACAATTTAATTCTAAGCTATATACATCCTTGTAAATTAAATCTTATACAAAGAAATAAATATTACTAATTTTCTAGATTTGGTACAAGGCATGCAAACAAGTTGTATAATCATGAAAAACACTCAATACAATATATACATAATCCTAAAACACCCCCTACCTCAATTTGAGATGAAAATCTCAAAAGCCACCAACATGAAACCACTCCGAATCCGACGATACTTCGAGGTTTCGTCGGGGACAACACGGTGAACAATAACCCCAAGGAAGTCCCATCAAAATCACAACTTGACTTTAAACCCGAACTCAAGAAATGACCAAAACAATATTCCAATCGGTGGAATCAAAAGCCTCGCCAAGGCGAACATAAAACACTAAGGCACTATGACTTTTTACTGAAGGGAGGAAGCTCAAAAGAAGAGAGAGAAGGTGGCAGTCATGGCTGCCATGGAATCCAACCAAGAGAGAGGAGAGAGAAAGAGAGAGAGAGAGAGAAATTTTGGTCTTGCTTGGTATGGATTTATGAAAACATTTTTCTATTTTTATAGTAAAAAATTTTTGAAAACTGCAAAACAAGTCTACTTGGATCTGTTTTATAAAAACAGTTTTTTGAAAACTGAGATAACAGAGTTGAGGTTTTCAGAGAACAACAGTTTGTTGTTTTCAGAGTTTTGGGAACACTGAGATGCAAAATTGGAAAACACAGAGAACTGAAGGCTACTTAAAAAGTACGGACAAAACTGCGTAAAACTCTCACTCGTTTATAACACAAAGTCTCGCAGCATCCATCTTCTCTCTCTTCAACCTCTCTGCAATGCATCGTCTCTCTCTTCAACCTCTCTTTCTGATCTCATTTATAACATTAAATTAGCTGTACAAGGGTTTTGATCTTTTATCTCCAGATTCTCCTCCTCTTTGAAGAGCCCTCTCTCAAATTTCTTCAAGCCAGATCTGCACTTCTTTCCTCACAATTGTCTCTCTGTTTAGGTAGAACTCTGTAACCCTCAAATTTCTTTCATCCGTACAAGATCTGTGATTTTTCTCTCACAATCGTCTATGATCTTATCAATTGTTAGAATTTTTTCCATTTCTCTCACAATCGTTTTCTCTCTCTCTTCAATCCTTGCTGGGAATCTCGTGGTTGCTTCAGTTGCAGGATCAGTCGCGGTCGCCTTCAAATCCGCCGAAGTTGCAGAGAAATCTAGACTTTCCGGTGCTCATTTCAGGCAACACTTTTTCATTTCCGGACGCACTGGGTCGATTAAGCTCCCAAATCGCATCAACTTGGATTGCAGATCGAGGAGATCGTTTGCTTCCTCCGATATAACTTTTGTTTCCTTTTTTAACCTTTTGATGCTCACATGATCACATCTAAATTTGTGACCTGTTTATGTATATTTATATGAATGTGCATGTTTACAAATGTGAAAGCATGAACAATTTGAGTTGGATATTCCATGGAATTTAAATCTGTTCTTTGTGCTTTCCACACAGTTTTAAAAAAATTAGAAATTAATTTCTATCATCTGATCTGGGTATAGCCTCTTTTTATTTTTTGATGATGATTTTGAGTGCTTGTTAGATTTTCTTAGGATTTTTTGAAGAATATTTTTGGGTATTGCTCTAATTTTATTTTTGTTAGTTCGTTAATTTTGGCTTTATATCTCTCTTCTTTTGGGGTTAAATTTCTCTGTCAGTTTGACTCTGAAGTTGTCTTCTATTCATAGTTCTTTTTCTTTCTGGTAGATTAGTGCTCCTATACTCCCATTTTGATCTTGTAACAATGTGGACAGAAACTATGCAGCACAATAAAACAATGGTGTTAATTGACTTGTTCAATTGGGATTCAATTCAGGCAAAGATAATGGAAAGGTCCACCTTACTTTAATTATTTTCACATAATGTTGTTGACATCATCTAATTATTTTTTCACAACAAAATGCTTAAATAATTTGATGGTGTTAATTGCCTTGGAATAATATGATGGTGTTAATTGCCTCGGAATAATTTGATTAATTAAATTGGAATTTTCTAAGCACATAACCAGAATAAGGGATTGTCACTGGCATCATTTTTTAGTTCATGGCAATTCTAAGAACAGAACAATACATCTCGTCTAGTGATTCAGATGGAGATTTTGATGACTTTGTAGATTGTATGTATTTGAATTTGATGCAGGAGTATGAAAATTCCTTTAAATCCAAGGTATCAAAGAGAATTTCTTTCCTCACAAATGGGAGCCCTTGGAACTCATCTGACAAATCAAATGTGGGCATCATTCAAAGGCAATGCTAGATGAAGTTATTTTTATAATTCTCCAATGTTTTGCTTTGATTACCTATTTGTGTAATTCTCTAATATTTTGTTTTTGTTATGTATGACTACAATTAATGTTAGTACAACTAAAAGTGCATATGACACTTGAAGTAATTAATGTAACTCTTTTATTGTATTTAAATTTGGTCAAATTTTAATTAAACTTCATATATTGTATTTGTACAATTTTTATTAATTATACTTGCTAAAATGAATTCACCTCCAACACTTATTTAATATATATATATATATATATATATATATATATATATATATACATTAATAGTTAATATCTTCATTTAAAGAAATAAAAGAGTGATGTACAATATTTTTATTTATTTTCTTAGTTCAGAAAATTATTTTCAAAAACCCATACAACCAAGTAGTTTTATGAGTTTTTGTTTTCCGGAAACTATTTTGTAAATTCTCTTAACCAAGCAGGCATGAAATCTGAAAAAACTAAAAACTGTTCTCCGAAAATTGTTCTTGAGAACTGTTCTCCGAAAATTGTTCTTGGGAACTATTTTTGAGAACAATTTTCATAAATCCATTCCAAGCAAGGCCCTGATTTTTTTTTTCTAAGGCCCCCTATTTATAGAAAATCTCAAAAAGTGCCCCAAACAGGCCCCTCCGAGTCCAAAAAAGTGGAATTTGAGCAAACGGGCTCAAACGGCAAAACTCCATGAACGAAAAAGAATCAAAATGAGAAAATATGAACAACAGAAGAAACGGCGTCAAAAATTGAGTCCCGAGCAGAGAGATATGCCCGAACAAGTTCGGTGGCAATTGGGGTCAGAAACCCTGAAACTGGAGAAAAACGACCAGAAGGGAATTCTAAGAGTACACGACTCGACGAAAAGTGAAAATGAATCCCGTACGAGGATCCAGGCTCAAAACAAGGCATTTAGTAATAACTTTCATTAATTGCACAATGGCCCCTCCAAAAAGTGAAAACTATACAACTAGCCCATAATGAAAATATCTCCCAAAAATATTTTCTTAAAAACCCCTGAAATAAAATATCTTCAAAAGATATTTACGAAAAACACCCCAAGAAAAGAAAAAGTTTATAAAGAATTGTGCATCCATGCCCCTATGGACACCGGGAGCAACCAGAGTACTTTTCTGAAAAAGTAAAGATACGTATTTCATAGAAACCACTTAGAATGAAGATACATGAAGTCAAAAACCAACTCCGAACACAAAAAGTGTAATTATGCCAACAAAGTGACAAACAGAGAAAAGACAAAATAGGAAAAAAGACGAAAAGTGAATAATGTCCGAAAATGAAAATGTGGAAATGACGCGGTCCTCAAAGGAAGGTGTCAATCCAAGGAAAAGAGTCTCGAAAACCATTCCAGAGCACTCGAGACGACACTAAGTGACGAGAAACCGAGCTTAGAAAAGGAAAGATCAACCGAAAAAAAAAAAAATATATATATATATATATATATCCGTGAAAATCTGATAAAAGAAAAGGAAGTACCGGGTCAATACAGAACTTAAGGCTAGAGACCACCATTTAGTCTCACAATTCTCTTCTTACTCCCGCTGGTTTCTCGCTTCTCCTCTCAAACTCTTTTTTTTTTTTTCTATTTACATCAAGACTTTGAATCTATATCTCTCCTTCACTACTTGGAATTTTTAAGTGCCGTTTGCGGCAAATTGAAGCTCACGACGAGAACTACAAGTTGATCGAAGCAATTTCTAGTTTGGTGCACTCCTTGATTTTCAAAATTTAGGGTATCAAATTGGGGGTTTTGCATAATCTTGAGGTAGGGGTTTCTAATTCCTAATTTCTTGTTCCTTGTGAGTCAATTTCTTGTTAATTGTTGCTAACATGTTTAATTGATGTTAATTAACCCTAGAATGATTTTATTGTGGTGTATAAAGTTCTTGAATTTATGCATTAATTGATGTGTATGAAAAACATGTTTAAATGTTGATTTACTATGCCTATTGTATTACTAATTGCTAGAAATGATGTATGTAAGCATGTATAAAAAAAATTTAGAATTTCTTGTGAAGCATGCCTTATTTAAATTGTTTGCCTTGAAAATGATATAATTGTTGTAATAGAAAGTTTATGCTTATATGTGTTGATGGTATTATGTGAGAAACATACCTAAATGTTAATTTCCATGCCATGATGTTTATTATTTTCCTAGAAATTTCTATGAAGAAGCATGTTAAATTGTGAAGTGTAAATTTCCTTTATTATTATACTATTGGAAAAAAAATACATGGCATGCATCCATAGCATTAGGCATGAAAGAAAAGGGGAAAGTGTTTTGAAAAAAAAAAAAAAAAGGGGGGCCGAGTTTGGGACAAAGTTTTGTAAAATGATTTTTACGAAAACCCGGTCGCCGCGGAACTTCCAAAGGATCGTGGTGTTAATATAACCTAGAGTGAATTAGGGAAATTGCCCTAGCGTGGTTGAGTTATCTGGACTCCAAATGACGCCGCGAAGGTACCAACTGTCAGGGACAGTAGCCAATCCTTCTCTCGTGTCGTCGCGGAGTCACCAATGGACGGGTTATATTAACAGTTTGAAAAGTGATGGATTTGGATTTTGAAAATGGGGAGCGACATTCATGACATCACATATCATGGCACGGCGTTGTTATTTTGGAATTGGAATTAATGTTGTGTTCCTTCCCGGCATAGTATGATCCCGCTTCTTATTTTTATTCATTGTTTGGATTCACAGGATCACAAGAGGTGTATCTTAGGCACTACCTACTAAGCAATTTGCTCACCCCTTATATTTAATATTTTTCAAGACACGGATGGCAAGTGACGGACAACGCTCCTCCATAGAATTCGATAGGTTAATAGACCGTTTTGACATACTTTGTAACTATAATCTCATTTTATTATTATTATTTATTTATTTATTATTACTTATTTTTTTATAAACCTGTATAATATGTATTGACGTAGAAAAGAATGATATTATCCTTGATTGATCTCGAATTTAGTTAAGGACTCAACTAACTGTTTGAATTTACGGTTCGGGTCGTTACATGAATTATGTGAATCCTAATCCATATCATTCAGCAAATGAACCGGACAAGAAGGTCCAGAATTCCTCCGAGTCATGCATGAATAGGATCATCCTCTTTTTTCCTGTGTCAGTCACACCAACGACATTCACAAATAAAAACGAGAGAAGAAAATGGACCCAATATCCAAAACCTCAAATTAGGACTTAAATGCTTCTTATGTTGACTATATATATCAATAATGGAACCAAAGATTCCAAACCCGTGTCACAGGTTCAACTCCAACCTGTCAAAACTTTCTCCGGTCACTGCCAAGGGCCCCTCCTCTTCCCCAACTCAATTCTCTTATTTCTTTGATTGCATAGGAAAAATACTATGCCGACACATGTTATTAGTAGATGTAGGACCATTAATATGAACTTTAGAACTAAAGCACAAAAGGTATTTTTAGTCATAATCATCGCTAATCAAGGGCATTTATGTCGAAAGATTAAACGCTGGACCCATCTTGCTTTTCCGCCTAAAATGATGATATAATGGGAAAGCAATTTGGCTCACTTTTTCTTGTCATTTCATGGCCGAATCTAATGTGGCCACACTGGGACGGTGGGGATCACCTCACCGGCCAGAACCGTGAGACACTGTGGGTATGGTTCCACCATTGATTCTACGTGGCCTTCCTAATTCAATAAAATGTATTTTTCTAGAGATATATACAACTTTACAAATATACTTGAAAGTAACTAATATACCATACAAGTTCTGCCAAATTATAGTAGCACATTGATTGTGGAATGAATCACTGCAACTCTATACATTCACTTCTGTCCATTGTAGAATAGCCCGTGGATTCAAATGATGACAGAAATCAAAATAAAAAATTAAAAAAAACTAAGTAGAGGCCTATGAGCTTAAAAAAGGTGCTGAGAAAAAATCTAGAGTCACTTATGTAACTTACATATACATGTGGAGTCAATAATATATACACACCAGGCCAGCTCTGGAGGCAAAGACTTGTAGACAAGGACAACGACTCAACTTTTATACGGGTTCCGTAAGGCTAGTGCTCTTCTTCAGATTCTTGCTTCTTCCACAGCGACCTGTGCTCTTCTTCAGATTCTTGCTTCTTCCACAGCAATCTGTTGATTTGGACGCTACTATCATACCCACTACTGTCACCTGATTCAACCACACGCTTGTCCATAGACCTCTCCTTCATACTGTCACGATGTGCACGCATACGTTCTCGTCCAGCTCTACTCTCCTGCAATGAATACAAAAAATAAACAAATAAAGATTACAGCTAAAAAAGCCATAAAAATGCATTAGATAATAGTCTATGACAAATAATACTTGGAGGTACTGAGCTCCAATTTGCAGTTTTGCACAAACACGTTTAAGACAAGTTGTAAAATAGCCCACATACTCGATTGAACCGCACAAAGCTCTAGTTTCGCGTCTACATTTCTACATTGTTTGACTACCCACCACAACCCTCTTTCTCAGGTCTACAGATAGGCACCAGGTGTGACTAACAAGGAACTAAGCACGAGACTGACAGTTAAAAAAACCCACTACACAGTGTTTCGGGATTTTTGTGACGAGTTTCCTTCGTTGTAAAATCCCAGACTTGTTGAATATTTGGAAATCTGCTTGAGTAAGATTTCCGTCTTTAACCAAAACAAACAAATTCAAGAAGAGAACACGTCTTAGAATTTGACCACACATTTTATTACAACTTATCCATGGGGAAAAAAGTGAACTTAAACATCCATAATTAGTATGTGAAACAAATACAAAGAAATTTTAATTCCAGTTTTGATTGTGTAGGAAACATTTAGCTTTCTAGCTAGTGCTCCGAGTCATAATTACATGATCATAGGCAGTTCAACGAAATAATTTTAAAAAACATGATCAAAAAAGGTGTTCCATAAGTGATAATTCTATCTGTAGCATGAAAATTGAAATGGAATGAAGTGTATATATTGTTGGTGTAAGACGAACAGGGACTTACATCTCGGAAGGGAAAATCATCAGCTTCAAGCATGTGAATCACATGGCCCATCTTTGGCCTCTTCTGTGCGTTTGGATCTACACATCGCAGAGCTACTAAAAGGGCACGCTTCAATGCCCTAGAAGAAGGCTTCTCAGGTATTTTGGGATCCAAAACTCCCTCAGCATTCCGATTTGTAACCATAGTTTTGAGCCACTCAACTAGGTTCACCTGACAGTTAAAATCAATTAAAAAAAGGAAAAAAAGAAAAAGAAAAGTTGGATCTATTCTGAAGTGGTCTGATTAAAATGTCATGGAGTGATGTTGGCTATCAAATACAGACCTCCCCTGGAGAACGGCTATAATCCACTGGGTTCCTCCCAGAAATAATCTCCATGAGAAGAATCCCAAAACTATAAACATCACTTCTCTCATTCAACATGCCGGTACTAGCATATTCAGGAGCAACATAGCTACAAAATAGAACCAAAAAGTCACCAATCCATTTAGCTTGGTGAAGTTAATGGATTCCAGTTAAGATAATTTTATAAAAGAGGTACCACTGACCCAAATGTTCCCATTACTCGAGTTGTCACATAACTCATCTCGGACCCCAAGAGCTTCGCTAAGCCAAAGTCAGATACTCTCGGATTCCACTGCTTATCAAGCAAGATGTTGCTGGACTTGATATCACGGTGAACAACCTTGGGCTCAAGCCCCTCATGCAGGTAAGTCAATCTATAAACTTAATTAAGCATTAGTTGTGCAGAACAATAAAGAATACGATAAACAGAAGCTCAATAATTAAATTAATTGGATTCCAAATATATACCCTTTTGCTGTTCCAACTATGATGTTCATTCGAATATCCCATGTAAGAGGGCTGGATGGACCTACATCTCCATGAAGCCACTGTTCTAAGTTCCCATTATCTACATACTCATAAACAAGCATCCTAAAAAAATCAACCAAGCAATTACATCAGTGCATATGCTCAAATTAAAGTTAGTTCTCAAAGATGAAATGATCACAAAAAGCATTATTTGAAGCATTCATAGAAATCTTCTAGTATGTAAAGGTCATTATTCTACCATGAACAAAAAAATGATGCACAAGGTTACTAGTAAAAATACCTATGAGCTCCCTCAACACAGTAACCAAGCAACCTCACCAAATTCTTATGCCGAACGCGTCCGATTGCTTCAACTTCAACTTTAAACTCCTTCTCAGCTTGCCCCCTGAAAGAAAACAACATGAAACACAATAGCAGTGACCCCATCACACCATGTATGCCACACAGAACCTCCTAATTGTCAAATTCAAGTTAATCTAACATTTATCAAGCAATTGCAGTAAAAGTACAACTATTTACCCACATTTCGAAATTGGGTAAGTTCACATGCATAAAAATTGAACCCTGTATAACATTTATGTGTGCCGTTGCATTTGTGTGCAAAACTAAAATTTCAAAAGTTAACCTGTTATTGAGCAAATTCTTGACAGCCACACGAGTATTATCCTCCAAGACGCCATGATATACGATCCCATACCCACCTTCACCAATCACATTCTCATGAGCAAACCCATTAGTCGAGACCTCAAGTTCTCTGAGAGTGTACCAATGTCCCCACCCCAAATGCGACACCTCAGGCACAGCCACCGCCACCTGATCACCGGACCGAGCCTCCCCGCTGCCGTGGGACGACCCCCCTCCGCCGCCACGTTCCGGGTACGAAATCCGGTGGCCCTTCCCGATTTCAATGTGAATTCTCTGGTGCGCAAGTGGGTTTTCATCGTCAACAGGCAGAGCTTGTCGTTCGCCTCTGGCTAATGGGTCGGATTCATGCGATGGGTCAGGAATCGGAGCTTGGTGTGGCTTGGGATTTTCAGGGTCATTTTGGGTCCTAGAAGGGTCGATTCTGATCTCTTGAATTTCTTTGGAAACAATTGGGATTGTGGGTTTGTTAGAGGACAGCTTGAGTTTGGAGGAATTGTTCTTCGTCTTGTTGTTGTTGTTGCGTCTAGAGGTGAACCAGAGAGAAATTAGGAACAGAACAAGAACAATTGCAGCCCCAACACATATACCCAAAACAACCCACAAGCGCAGACCAAAGATTGAGGTCCGTTTCGAGAGCTCATCGTTCAAAAACGCAGGCTTACTATCAGACATTTTCTCTCTCCGCCTTATGTTAGACTCAAATTTTGACAAATTAGTTACAGAGATAAATCGAAAAGAGAAGTCGAGTAAAGAAGAAAGAAACAGTGTGTAATGTGTGTGGTAGTGGAATGATAGATGAGGCAATGGGTACACACTGTGGAGAGAGAGAGTGTGGGATGAGAGAGAGTCCTCGAGTGGCAGCTGTGATGATGGGGACTTCTAGAAGAGGAAGAAAACCCCCTGTTTTGTATTTAACGTCGACATATATAATGTATACGTTGTATTTGTTATACTTTCATATACTAGTATGACTGTATTAATTTGTTTTGCTTCTGTTTAAAATTAAATAAAAAATTGACATTTTTATTTGCATTAAATTTACAAAACTCTCTTATACTTTCGGTTTTTAACAATATATCCCCTTCTACTATTAAAGTAATCAAATCGTTCCCTTCTTAACTTCCCGTTAATTCTCAGTTAAAGCTTACAGGACATGATTATGATTATATGAGGCACATGTTTTGGATCTGAGTTTTGAATGACTAAATATACTAAATAAAATCAATATCTTTTATATTTTATTTAAATAAAGAAAGAGCATTTTAACTAATGGCTCCATAACAATATATTCTTCTACGAAACTTTTTAATAGTAGAGAGAGTGAAAATGTCAAAAAATACAAAATGTGAATTTAACGGTTATTATTTTCTTAATGAATATTTTTGCATCTTGGTTGGTGGTGTAACTGTTGTCTCATTCTTCACTATTATATGATTTCTTTAAACTTTTAAAAGGAGAAATGAAAGAAGGTGGTAGAAGCAATATGGTGAAAGTCTTACAACTAGGTTTATAGTGTATGAGCTTTATGATTTTTTAGGTTTTATGTAGGTTGATGGTCCCCAAACATGGTTGTGGACCTTATGGGTTGCTTTACTTATTATGGTTTTAATTAATTAATAAAGAAGATAAGGTTGTTAACACCTTTTTAGTCAAGAGTATAATAAAGTAAAAAATTATGTGACAACAAAATAAAAAGGAAAAGAAAATATTATGTGAGGGTATAAAATCAAAAACTACGTGGCAACAAACAAGGTTGTGGACCTTGCTTTATTTATGGTTTTAATTGATCAATAAAAGAAGATAAGGATCTTAATCAATCAATGCCTTTTTAGTCGAGGGTATAAAGTCTTAATGCCTTCTAATCGCGAGTACAAAGTCAAAATCTGAGAGGATAAAGTCAAAAACTATGTGACAACAAAATTCAAACAAAAAAAAAAAAAAATTACTATGTGAGGTATAAAATCAAAAACTATGTGACAACAAAATAGGTACAAAAATAATATTGATTATCCAAAAAGACAAAAAAAAATTGTACATCAACATCCAACTTATTTATTGAATGAGATAATTGTCGTGTAAAAATCCACATAAGTACCGGGTATCTAAGGTATTCCTACAGTCCTGCTGTCATAGAAAGAAAAAGGGTATGATTGGTTGTAGGCACCACCTAGGAAGTTACAAGAAGGTAATAGAAAATTTTCCTTGACAAACGAATGAAATTAAATACTAGTTAAGATAGTTTTTAATTGTCTAACATGACTTGAAAATCTATATCTATATTTATATATGTACTACTTTTAAAGTGGTATAGAATTATATATATATATGTACACATTTTATACCATTTTTTATTTTTATTTTTTTCCCATACCCTTTTATTTTGTTCAATAGTTACAACTCTTGATTTGTCCCTCTCTCTATTTATACCTCATTCATTTTTATTCATTTTTTTATTTTTCATATACAATTCTACATAATAATTACAACTCTTGACTTGCCATCCTCTCTATTTTTACTCATTCAATTCAACAGTTACACCTATTGATAACCCTTGAGTTTGTAAAAATTAGAAATACTTGAGTTAGGAATACTAAATAAAACAAGGATAATGTTATCGTTTGGCTCAAATTCTTAGTTCGATCGTGATTCGGAAGAGTCCAACTGGTCCAACATACCTAGAAAATTAAAGTGGAGATTCTATATAAGTTGGACAAGTCCAACTTTCCATGGACCGGTCTAATGTGCTTCATATTTGCGGGAGACAATTCCCTATTTCATTTTAGAAGCCTGAAAACTTGGAGAGTGAGGTTAAAGATATGGCAAGGAAGTTGTGGCTTATTAGGCTAATACTTTATAATCGTAATTGATATGGTAACTCTTTGATATACAAGTTATATAATTCTTATTCAGTAAGGAATTAGGTCTTAAGACTCTATAAATAGAGATTGGCTGAGAGAGAAAAGACAAGGCGACCTTGTGGGCGAGTGTTGTAACGATCCGAACCTAGGGGTCCGAATTGCTAACCAGGTCCTTATCCGAACATGAGGTCATGCAAGGGTACTATGATAATTTCCCATTAAATTAATACTTTACGGCCCGACAAGGGCATAATGGTCATTTAAATATAATTATGATAGTTTAAGACCCAAAAGGGTAAAATGGTCATTTACTAATGTCATGATGAAGTCCAGGGGTACTAAGGTCGTTAACGTGTTTTATTGGGCCATTTAGTAAATAAACGCAACTTTAAATGGGTAATAAAGAACAATTAGAGAAACTAAATCCCAAATATATAAAACGAACCGCTCGACATGTGTACCGTACACGTCGACTAGTTTGGCACAATCGGTCGACGTGTGAGTAACTCACGTTGACCGGTTTAGATCATCCACAGTGAGATTGCTCACTGCCCAAAATTTTTGAGATACCGGTAAATGTGTCAGAAGCTACACCTCGACCAGTTCTCGCTAGTCATATATTTATCCGTTTCTTTTCAACCTTCTTTTTAGCCAAACAATTCCACTCATCTCCAAATTCAAAATCACAAACAGAACCAATATACACTTATATTAAAATACCCAAATAAATATCTTCCTAATATACACATGCCTACATACCCAAATAAAATTAATGCCAATGTTATTACAATGTTAGAATAATGCCTTGTAAAAATTACATTATATGGATGCAATCCCACCGCTACCAATTACACACCCCAAACTAATAAAAATTACATTTGCCACCAGAGAAATTACAATTACAACATAATTGAGCTTAAAACACTACAAATAATGAGAACTATAATGACATCAAATGTCAATTCTTAAATGGCCCACAATGGTGAAGATGAATCATCCACTCTGCCTTTTCCGAGTCCTGAAAAATAGTAATAATGGGGTGAGCACAACAGCTCAGTAGAAAGTGCCTAAAACGCACTCATTAATGACCCCGTGAATCCAAACAAAGAATAGGGCATAGAGAGAGGGATCATACTCGTTTGGGAAAAATTAATTAACATACTCATCCACATACAATCCAAGCGCAACAAGTCCAATACTATGCAATGCCCATGAAATGAGATACCACTACCCATTTCTAAAACCTTTACTCAAAGTATATTCCTTTCCTTTCCAAGAAATCAATTCCCCTCTTTCTTACTCAATGCCAATGCATGAGCACAACATGCCTCATGATGCCATGAAAATTCATACTTTACAACTTCAATTATATAGCATACTTTGAGAAGAAACATATACGACAATTTGTCAATCAATCAAACATTAAACGTGGCCTTTTAAAATAAGAAGATCGTAGCACAACACGCATTGAATACTCATCTTCATAACAATTCGCATAAACATGGCATTAAACATATTTCACCACATATGACATAGATATTATGCATTATAAATCATAACTTTTGCATATTATAACACCAAATATGAGATTAACTCACGAAAACCTAAGGAATCACAATTTAGAAACCCCTACCTCAAGGAAGCTAGCCAAGCCAAACAAGCCCTAAGGCCTCCCAATTGGAAATCCCCAAAGCCCGTGTAAGATTGATGTCAAATGGAAGCTCTCTCCAAGTCAACTTTTTTTTCTTACCTTTCATCAAAATCTCACTCAAAGCCTCTCAAAAATGGATTTCAAGGTTGGAAGGCATATGTATATACATAGATATAGAAAGATAAAGAAAAGAGATGGAGAGAGAGAGAGAGAGAGAGAAGATGCTGAGAATGAGGAGGAAGACAAGGCTTAGTCCTTGTCTTAAAATGAAATGTGGACCTAGCCTTGCCACATGTCAATATTTGGGTGAAATATACTTTATGTCAAGTTACCATATTGTCCTCATTCATCCATCACAACGCCAACATTGTCCCACAAAATATCTCCTCTAATGTATAGATACATTTATATGTATATGTATGTGAAATGACTACAATGCCCCTCACTTAGTATGAGAAAACCGGGAGAAGTTCCCGAACCCAAAAATTGTCTTAACTTTCAAAATTTCTAAAAATAGTCCCGTTGCCTCTAAATGACTTAAAATAACTAAAATACTCTTTTAAAACTCTTGGCTCAAGAAAATGACCAAAACGACCCTCGAGGCCCGCGTGACACGCAAAACGAGGAGCAAAAATAAAATAAAATAAAATAAATAATTCAAAAAATCAAAAAATCCCAGAAATTGGAAAAATGGAAAACGTCACAGGTGTGTCATGGGCGAGGTACAAAAGGCACTCATAGGCTACCACATTAGGCGAGCTACAGGCACACAATTCCGCCCCTGGGTGTGGAAACGGGAAGTACTATATATATAGGATTTGTACACTTTAATTGGTATGAGGCCTTTTAAGGTAAAACCCAAGAGCGAAAAACTATGCAGGCTCGGGTCCAAACCAGACAATATCATACCATAGGTGGAATGGGTCTTTACAAATGGTATCAAAGTCTGATCCAGCCGGAAGTTTGGCCAACGGGGACATTAGCCCCCTAAGGGGGGTGATTGTGGCAACCTTGTGGGCAGGGCAAGAGGCACTAGCAGGCTACTATACTAAGCGAGGTACAAGTACACAATCCCATATCGCTTGGGTATGGAAAGGGGAAGTGTTGTAACAACCCAAATCCGGATGATCCGGGTCCCAACCCGAACTGAGGAAACTAAGTAAAAAAATGGTCATTATGCACCTTACTATATGTTAGGAGTCATAATGATGGCATACCAATCATTTTTAACTGAATCGGATGATGAAAGAATAATGACTTCGACTTCGGGCTAACCCTAGGTCCCTAGGGTTGACAAGGGTAAAATGGTCCTTTCATGTCAAAATTATGGAATGGAACAAATATTATTAGAAAGATGGATCAAAATCATACAAGTTAGA